GGGTTGAAAGAGAAAACTAGTGGAGTTGATGGGATGATCTGATGGTGGACCGTGGACCGATTTTTCTTTGAACGCTGGACGTCCGGCTTAAAGCGTTTTCGAAACAAAACACGTACAGTGCAGATAACTCAGGTAAGTTCACAAATCACAATAACCGTGTTCTTGATTGAATAAATGCAGTGATATATACATCCACACTTTATAATCACACATCCCAGCTTCGTCTCTCACGACGATATATAGAAGAACCAGACATGATATCTGCTATACGGCCTAGGCGCACAATATCCACTTGCCACTCCAAACACACACAGCATAGATCGATCACGTACACGAAAGAAGTATGACCATTAGGAGCAGCGCTAGCTACCAGAGCAAGGCCGCCGCCGCGAGCAACGAGGAGGCAGAGCATGCAGCCCACGTACCGCCGCTGAGGCCCCGCGGGTTGCTGCTGTCCACTTCCCCGTCAAATACTCCGACTCCGCCGGCAGGCCCTCCGCCGCCACGTCCTCCTCCGCCTCCGCCTCCGCCTCCGCCTCCGGCTCCTTCCGTGAGGTCCACGAGGCTCGCCGCGCAGAGTAGGACGAGAACGCCGAGCAATGGCAAGAGGCGCCTCATCATCTGATGATCTCTACAGCGTCCGCAGCTTCTGACTTCTGGCCTGTGTGCTAACTTCGACTCGTCTGCCAAGCCGCCAACCCGTCGTTGTGAGAATCCCCATCTCGCGCATGGATACTTATACACATCTACAGTTGGCCACGGACAGTTGCCAGGTTTTAGGACAAAGACCGAAAGACCGCGTAAATATACTTGTACTATACAACAACGCGTCCGTAGCTAATTGGTTGATTATACTCACGTTTGCGGTTTGTAGGGAACCGATAACGAACTAATTAAACAGCTTGTGAGCTAAATTATCTACTTTAGCTAGGTAATTAGATGGATGAAACTACAATTCAGCTACCGCGTGCCCATATGTATTTTCGAGGTAATTAGATGGATGAAACTACAATTCAGCTACCGTGCCCGTATGTATTTTCGTATTGAGCCGACATTCCAGAATTTCTTGACCAGTATACGCCGTGAGTCGATCTTCTACAGTGGCGAATCCAGCAGGTAGCTTCGTTATGCTCTAGCCTACCCTCCAATTTTTCCAAAAGAATTTCCATACTGGCGCGGCTGGAGCTCTGGGGAAGACGAACAATAGCGATGGGAGAGAGAGAAGCAGCCTGAAGCGGTACCACTACGGTCCAATTCGTCATGCTAGAAACCCACTACGGCCCATCTCTGTCCTCGTCCTTTACTCATCACTTGGCCTACTAGGCTCATTCGTGGCTGATCAAGCCATCAACGAGCAAAAGCTTGCGGCGGCGGCACGGCAGCGAGCAGCCGGAACGCCGGAAGTCGGAAGGGGGGAAGGTGTGGAGTGCAGAGGCGATCTATATAACCATCTAGTAGCAGTGTACTATTGTGAGTCATAATATTCGTTGGCACCTGCGCGGCAAACCACGGGATTTGCTAGTTTTATCGTCAAATAAAATCAATGTTTTAAATGATTAGATGTAACTCAGTATATATACAAAATAAATGATAACGTGTCTTCATATATAGCCTCTGCTTATACAATACAATTCATGTTTTATTTTTTTTAAACGTCATTGTGTTTTGTTATGATATACAAAAGTTATTTCCATGCACAATCTGGATATCGTCATAATTAGGGTAGTCTGCACCTCTTTGTTTTATCTCAAGCTTGTTTCAAAAATAGGTTTGGGTTAATGATTCCTAATTACTGTATGTTATCTAATTGTTAACAAAACTCACATCTTATATAATAATTTGAGTTGTATTAAAAAAGATAAGTTCGCATTATCTTGAAGAACTTGGGAGGAGAAAACATAGTATTATGCGCAAAATGGATAACAATGCCATGCGTGATTATGAGCTAAAGTGAGGTGATTGGATGAGTAATCAATGATTAAATTAGATGGATGAATAGCTTATTGATCCAACGGCTGATAACTATGTACTAATATGATCCGATGGCAAGAATTATTGATGATGTGGCTTCTTACATGCCTTTTTTTATAGAAGTAAATGTCCATTAGTGGGTACGGAAGATAGGATTTGTCTACTCAACGAGATCCTTAGATTTAAGGCAAGATTTATGAGGAATTGAGTCTCATTTTTTCTATTTGATTTATTGGTAAATTTGCAATGGAGAAGAAATTGCATTAACTAATTATTTTATAACAAATTTAAGTAATATACCCCCTCTAACTGGGGAACATATTCTATGCACACAAGCTTCCTGTGCACACTCCATGCACACCGACTAGCAAATATCATGAAAATTTCTAAAAAAAAAATTGGACATTTACTCCTATTAATATTACACATATCTACAAAGTCTCATATTCAAATTCATTATATTTTAGCCGTAACAAAAAATGAAAAATCTAACAATTTTCAGCGTAAAAATATGTCAGAATTTTGTAGAATTTTTTTGTTCAAGGCTACATCGCTTCAACCTCTTGGATCACTTTGGTTAGATTGATATATTTGCCTACCTATTTGTCATATGTTGATTAATTCCATGATGAGTACTGTTTTACCTACTCCAGCTCCCCCAAATAGTCCGATTTTTCCTCCACGCCGATAAGGAGCTGAAAGATCGACCACCTTAATACCAGTTTCAAAGATGGATAATTTCGTATCTAACTCGATAAAGGCGGGCACGGATCTATGAATAGGGAATGTTGTACTAGTATATACAGGACCCAAATTGTCAACAGGCTCCCAAGAACGTTGAAAATTCGTCCAAGAGTCCTCTTTCCTCAAGCCACGTCTGTGTGCAATGCATTCCCCATGATCTCCATTCAACCCCACCTAGGAAGTCGTGATGGCAAAGAGTAAACAAACTAATCACTCCACCGAGGGCCAAAGCCCATGTTTTGCATCACTTCAATCAAATATTCCCATGAGACTGAGTCAAAAACTCTAGCAATGTCTAGCTTGAAAATGAGTGTTGGCATTCTGTTCGCGCTCACTAAGGTAGGTGTGTTCCTCTTAGGAAGCAGGGTGATTGCTGCTCTATTGAGTGCTCCAAAATCAGCTGAACTGTTAAGTTAATGGAATCTCTACTCCTCTGAAAAAATGAATGAATTCAAACAATTTAATCTGGACAAAAGCATTCTTTTGTTCAACTCTAAACTACAATTTTCTCAGTTGTTTGTTAGCACACTTTTTTAATTGTTAAATGGTGTATTTTTTTATAAAAACTTTTATACAAAAGTTTCTTTTAAAAAATCAAACAAACTTATTTTTAAAATTGGAAACAATTAATACTCAATTAATCTAATTAATCTTGTGCTAATAGTTTATTTCGTTTAAAGAACTGAACGGAATCAAAGATTGAAACTATGCCGAAGACATAGAGAGCTTACAAAACATTCACAATAACAACCTTGGCGCATCCACAGTAACAATTGTTTAATCACACTTATTCCTGTTGGCTAGCTTTCTACCTATTACACGTCGACAGGATGATAGAACTGACATTAGCCAGACGCACACACCACACGAAAAGAGACAATAGTACTGACATCAGCTAGACGCACACACCACACGGAAGGAGCTCCTCTGACTTAAAAGTCAGAGGGACATAGGTTCCTGATAGATGGAACCCACACTAATTGGTCCACACGTTAGAGAGTCATATCCCTCACTTAAGTTAGAGGAGCCTTGTGGCACTCGCACACACCACACCTTACCAGTATAACCACTTCCCAAACACACTGCACGTCTGCACGCATATTACAGTATCACATAAACGAAAGGGGAAGCCCGCTACAGGAGTACGGCGACCGCGGCGATCACCGAGGAGGCGATGCAGGCCGCCCATGTACCGCCGCTGAGGCCACGCGGGCTGCCGCTGCCGCTGCCTCCTCCCCTACCCCCGCCACCGCTGCTGTGCCCGCCCCCGCCGCGCCGCGCTTCCGTGACGTCCATGAGGCTCGCCGCGCAGAGCAGGACGAAGAGGCAGAGCGCGCAGAATGGCAGGAGGCGCCTCATCTTTTCTCTGCTGACTTCGACTTAACTCGCTCGTCCGCTTGCCGACTAGCCGTGTTCTGCAGCTGCTGCATCGCGCAAGAGTATTTATGCACCTCTAGAGTTGACCTGCAGGGGAAGGAAATTTTTTTAAGAATGTTGGCAAGGATTTTTTTTTTTTGATACAGAATACCACACTACACGTGTCAGTGAATGCTCATTGGTTCATTATACATGATATATGTATGAAAGCGTTGAGAATTTTAGAGAATCATTTGGTGCCACTTCATTGATAGCACTTTGGCTTCATATACTACTGATGATTGCATTGTAAAAAACCATTAAGAATTGAGCGAACAGCTTGAGCTCAAGTATCTACTCTGGCCTATCTAGCTAGACAATTAGATGCATGGATGATCAGGAGGTTAATTAGCGTATTTTCGTATGCATGTGCCATGTGTACACAGTAGCATGCAGGTATATTATTACTGGAAAAGAGAAATATACATATATTAATTCCATTATTTCTTTATTAGTGTATCTAGAAGCTGGAAGACCAGCAGGTCTTAACCATTTTAGGCGCTTAGATCATTGCTGTTATCTTCGAACTTTGGCCTTTGGGCCTGCCCTCCGGCCCGTCCTAACTCCTAAGCTCGGTTCAATCTGTCTTTGACAACATTATGCAGAGCGCTCGGGTGGATCAGTGGAGTGCGGGCAGCAACATCTTGGGGGCCCTTCTCGCCGTAAAAATCCGATCTCACATCCGCGTCCTCTATCCGTTAGGAGTCTAGGTTTCTTCTAACGCGCACCTGGTTGTTTTGTAAATTTTATAAACTGTGGCGTCTGCTGCTAGCAGCCTCACCGGTAACAAGACACGACAGAGAGCAGCGGCGACCAGCAAGCAAAATGTGCCAGGGAATGAGGGAGTAAGACAAATCTGGCCCTTTTTGTTGATCACGAACAAAAGAATCATCAATTACGGAATTGCAAATCTCACGAACTTAATTTACAACGAACAATTAATCAATAATCACACTTTTCCTCGTCTCCTTGCCGATCATTCATGGCGACAGCCCGGACACTTTCCGGAAAACTCATCCCCTGTGCCCACTGCACAATCACATCACACAAGTCACTTACACAAAGCATCATGTATTGTATTTCATGAAGCGGAGCTACAAGAGCATGGCCGCCGCGGCGAGCAGCGAGGAGCCGGCGCACGCCGCCCAGGTGCCGCCGCTGAGGCCGCGCGGGCTGCCGCTGGTTCTCGTGGCGCTCCCTCTGGCCCCGCCGCCGCCGCCGATGTTGGTGCGGCCTCCGCCTCGCCGCCCTTCCGTGACGCCCATGAGGCTCGCCACGCAGAGCATGGCGAGGACGAGCGTGCAGACGGGCAGCAACGACGACGACCGCCTCATCTTCTGTCTTGTGGTTATCTGAGCACGAAAGCACAGTCCGGCAGCTTTTCTTGTGTGATTTCTTCGTCTTGCCTTCCAAATTCCAACCCTGCACGTATCTTGTCCAAGCTGCAGTATCGGGTTGACCGGTCAGATTATTTTGACCAGTATGCACCACCAGTACCTCGCAGATTAATGGCTATGTTTAATAATTAATTTAGTAATTTTGTGGTACTGAACGTGTTCTTTCCCTCTTTTTGACTAGAATTCGTCTTCTTTTGCTCTCTTGACAGACGAGTTGATCTGAAACTTAGTAGCTGTTTAGATTTCAACTTTTTTCTTTAAACTTTTAATTTTTTTTGTCACATTAAACTTTTCTACACATATAAATTTCTAACTTTTTCATCACATTATTTTAATTTCTTTTAATTTTGATGTGAAACTAAACACAGTCTTAATTGATGGATGCATGGTTAGTGACTTTTCATTTGTTTAGCATATGTTGCCTGTTACTGGGGACAACCTCGTTGATGTTATCCTCAAGCTTTGTCACCAAATTTTCTAAAGGGGCAGTAGCAGTGCACCGTTCCCCCGGCTCATTATCCCAACTTCCATGTAAGAAAAAGGAGACGAGGCACACATAGAGCTACAAACTATCCAATGCAGGGTATCTTCAGCTGGGCCCCACTAAACTTTACATTTCAGCCCCTCCCCTTTTTAAGTTCAGTCCATATATTTTTGTCATTTTACGATTTACAATAAAGTCTCTTAAGACATAAAATAACTTACAAATAAATCCTTGGACCCACCCAGTCAGCCTATTATTATCCCTATCCCCAAATCACGCCAGAGAAGACTTCTCCATCGTCACATCGCGCTCCACGCCATCTCCTCCACAGCATACGGCGTCGCCCCTCCACCGGCCACCGCGCCTCTCTTCCTCCTCCGACCAACCTCTATCTTCCTCCGGTCGTCCCCTCCTTTTCGTCACCGTCCCTTTTCTGTCGCCGGACGGGACGGCAAGCTTGGCAACAGGCGTGGAGGCGACGAGCTAGGCAGCGACCGTACGAATCGAGCGACGAGCTCGACGCCTCTCTCCTCCCAGGCGTTAGGACGAGTGGATGGATGAGAAGCTCCACGGCACCGCCGGATTTGGCATGGCGTGGGGCAGCAGGAGCGAAGATGGATCTCGGCGGTGCAAATCGGGTCGACGAACTCCGCACGGCAGCCCGGAGTTGGAGGCTGCAGCCGCCATCGAGCTCTTCCGCGGCGGTTATGGAGGCCTCCTCCACTACTCAGATCGGCGTCCACGACGGCGGCAACCCTGACGGCGAAGCGGCAGCATGTGGCGAGGGACTAGGCATGGCAGGCGGGTTGCATTCCAGAACCGAACCGACGGCTTCGCGCTCTGTGCCTTTTTCCGCTTTTTGGGTGAGGAACTCGCATCTCAACAAGGAACGACAAGCTCAGCGAATGAGCGAAGGCACAAGGGCCCACACCCTCTCTCCTCCACGGCATCACGCGGCTGAGTTGGAGGCATGAAGTAACGCTCCACCGTGGTGCACTGTGAGAGTCCTAAGCGCGCTTCTCTCTACGGCTTTAACTTGCAAGTTTTTACATTTGCATGGCTGATAGTGATACGCGCCTACGCGGCAGACACCCCAGCTAGGATGTTTTACAGTATCTGAACGAACAAGTTCTCGATCAACTAATGGCTAAATGCTCCAGCAATTTTGAGAGCGACGCTTACGAATTAAAAAAAACGCATTTTACTTATCTGGAAACTCGTTTATTACGTACATGCTCGTCCGGGGAGCATAGGTTAGACAGATGCAGAAATACCCACAGTAATATAAAACAGAGGAAGTAATTTATAATTTTCTCTATCATCATCCTCCCACGATCCCACCTATATACACCTAATTTAATTGGGAGTATATAGTTATTTTCCCTTCCTAAGTAGCATCTCCGAAATAATTTAGAATCCTTATATTATGGAACCAAGATAGTACTTTCACAAATCATAATAATCGTATTTTTGTTGGACTAAAAAAATACTCATGCGTTGCAACGGGAAGACTAATCGTTTAGGTTCATGACACCTTGCATGTGTAGTATTTTGACATTATGGATCATGATGTTGACCCACATGGCAAGCTATCACGTAGCGCTTGCTTCACTTGATTGCAAAATTCACTTTGAACTAATAAATGGCAGCAAATCGGAGTCGTTACACACACGGAAAAAAGTAATGAAACCGATCGCACGTGTGGATAAAACGGACGATGGACGCAATGTTTTACCAGAAGCCTTACATATTTTTTAATTAGGATAGAAAACATGTTAACACCTTCGGACTCCCAAATCAGTAAAGTCGAGTCTAATTTGACGGGTTACCAAATCAATAGGAGTTGAGTCTAATTTGATAGATTCATGGGATTTGATGGTTTTAATCTTATTGAGCAAAAATAATTAGGAAACATGAACATAAATAAAGTTTATATGAATAAGCAATCATATATATATAATGCTATTTTTGAAAATAGAAAATACTTAAAATCACACATAGAAAAAAAACAATTTTAGCCTGGCCCAAAAACTTGCGACCTGCTTCTTTGTGGAGTACGCGTGCGTGGCCCATGAGGCGGCCCATCAGCACGGCAGGATGGCAATGGCGCCAGCCCGACATGGGAGACGCCGAGGCCGTCCGATCTTATGGACGATCCCGATTGATTCCAACATGGAAAAAAATTCGGCAGCCCAACCCTAACCCTAAAATCATTTCCCCGATCCCCTTCCTCTTCCTCGCGAAAAGCAATGGCGGCGGCGGTGATTCGGGCGGAGTGATGGTGGCGGCGACGATTCCGGCGAAGCGACAGCGTTTCCAACAAGCAGCAACAGTACGAAGTCCCTTCCTTTCTCTCGTGAAAAGCGGCAGCGGCGACGATTCTGACGAGCGGCGATGGCGCGTAGCGTGAAGCTACGGCTGTCCGAGCCACTCGGATCTCGTGCAACGAACTGATGCCACCCGAGCCCGGTATGATGTCGTGCATGGGGCCGTCCTGGTTCTCCTCCGCACGCAGCCAATGCCGCGACGACGAGCCTCGACCTCACGCGACCGACAAAGACGGGCGCAAGGCCAGTCCATGGCGATGGCTAGGGTGCGTGCACGGCGGTGCGGATGCCGTGATCACATCACATGATGGCGGCGATTTGCCAAATCGGCAAGTCATCAATCCGATTCGCTTAGGGATTTGCCAAGGTTCTAATTTTGGGGATTTTTTGATTTAGGGTTTCTGAAATCATGCCAAGTGTGGTATTTTTGTATGTTGTATATTGAAGTTCTCATGGTGTAACCAGGGTTGCATTTACCGCGGTAAACCGCGCGGTTACCGCGCTTACCGCGGGGGTACGGTAAGGGGTAAACCGCGGTAACCGCGTCAAATTCAAATAAATTTGAAAAATAATTTGAATTTTTGATAAATTTTGTACGGTTTGTCGCGGTTTGTCACGGTTACCGCGGTTACCGTGCGGTAACCGTGCTTACCGCCGGGGCGCGGTAACCGTGGCCCCGGCGGTAAATGAAACCCTGGGTGTAACACGATTTGGTTTAAATTTGATTCGATCTATGTAAAATCTCGACTGGAACCAATTTGATGTGGACTCGGGATGACGCGACAGGGACTGATGAAATTTTTTTTACGACGGACGAAAATATTTTAGCAGAATCCTTACATATTTTTAAGTAGGTATAGATATAGATATATAAAATTTGTCAAACCACATGATAATCACAAAATTTATATAATGTATATATTTTTTATAGGTTAATGACATCTATGGTCAACTATGCTGAGCTATAAAAGGTTACTATTTGTACATCATACCAGTCTTGAAAAATTAAAACTTTCAAGATCCTGGACATCAATTTGTGAGTACTAATCTAGGGGTATCTTTTAAAATATTTTGTATATACTGAAGTATAGGATAAAATATACTATTAGGAGTGAAAATAAAAATATGCTAGGAGTCATATGCCACGTGCTGACGTGCAGGTTCGCCTTTTCTCCACCCGCCTCTTTCTTTTCTCCTTCTCTCGCCATCTCCATCCTCTCTCGCCATCTCTCCCGTCTCCTCGAATCCTAAGCCCTGGCGGCTGCTGCTCCCTCCCTGGCGGTGGCTGCTGCTCTTCCTCCCGGCGTGGTGGCGGCTGCTCCCCTCCCCGTCCTGGTGGCATCTGCTACGCCCCCCTCCCCGACGTGGAGCCGAAGGCGGCTCCTGTTGCCTCTCCCCGGTGTGGGAGTGTGGCGGCAGCGGCGGCGGTTGCTTCCCTCCCTGACGTGGTGGCAGCGGCTGCCCCCCCCCCCCCCAACATCGTGCTGACGGTGGCTCCTACTCCCCCTTCCCGGCATGGCGACGGCGGCTGTGGCGGCTGCTTCCCTCCCCCGGCGTGGTGGAAGCAGCTGCCCGCCGCCCCCTCCTTCCCAGCTGCCCCCTCATCTTCCCGATGTGGAGCCAATGGCGCTTCTCTCCTCTATCGCGACGGTTTGATTTGGGAATATTTTAAGGATTTTGTGATTTGGGATGTTGATTCAGTAACCACCGTGATGAGGATTAGATTTCTTGCGATCAAATTCATGAGCTCTAGATTGAATTTGGCTTTTTCATACTGTTTTTGGTTGTATCGTTGATTGATTGATTTGGGGATCGCTTGGGGATTTTTTTTTCTATGTTGGACTCGGACTGGAAGGACTAAGGATGGACGAAATGGACATCGCAAAAATCACAAAAAAACGCACACGAGAGGGAATCGGACTTGAGCAGTGGGACGATGTACGAAAATATTTGGCAGAAACATCTTAAAGATTTTATAATAGGTAAAGATACATCACACTTTTACATATAGTACTTTCACAACTCACAATAGTCGTATTCTTGATTGGATACAACATACTTTTACCCATTTATCTCACGATCAAAGACAGAACAGTAATATATCTGCGAGGCGCCCAAACTAGTTGCCACCCCAAACACCAATCCAAATCCAGTACTGCACATGGGTTCAGTAGTGCATGCTGCACAGGACCCTCTCTCCCCAAGCACACATCACACATATCACGTAGTACAAAAAAGCATGTAAAAGCAAACAACAGCGCGCTTTACCATATAGGCGCCGCGCTACAGGAGCAAGGCGACCGCGGCGAGCAGCGAGGAGGCGGACCATGCGGCC